CTGTATTCCCATTCCCATCATGCCCACTTGCACTCTCAGTCCCATCATGCTGTTGCTGAACCACAACACATTGATAGGCATCAACACAAGCCCGATCATGTTTCCTCAGATGCAAGTCCTACTGGATCCAATATCTGAAAGTCATGCAGTTTCTTATCACAATATTAATTTTCGATAAATATTAAAATGTTATATTTTCCCCAGCAATTTTCTTTTGGTGCCCCATAGAATAGCAACTTTCTCTTTGAGTACATCCACTTTTTGTGCAGTACTTTTGTGCAGTACTTTTGTGTGTCCTCCAAATTTTGAAAATGATTGCCTTGGGAAGTGTTCTAATTCTTTGTTTTAATTTCTTATGCACATTTGCAGGAGGCCAGGGTAGTGATCCCGTGGAAATAATAAAGAGTTCTTCATAAAGATTTCCTCCCAATTTTTGTGTGTTCAAATTCATTGGCTCCAAACATGTTATCTTGCCTCAATAAAACGAATTAAAGCTTGATGAGCTTATCCTTTTTTTACCAACATGAATACAATGCATAGAAACTAGGCTTGGGCGGTTTCGTTCGTTAATTTTGTAATTCGTTATTAATTCGTATTTAAATTAGCTTACGATCCAATATTGAGCCATGCACGAATAGTGTGAGGAGTAAATTAGATTCGAAACAATTTTTTCAATTTATTTTGTAATTGTTTCGTAATTGTTTCGTTATTATTTCGAAATTATTTCGTAATTATTTTCGCATGTCTGGTGCAAGTTTTATAGTTGTTGTTTGTTTTATCACACCAACAGACAACTACAGAGGGAGAGGGAAGCTTCAGAAGTTCCCCCTGTCCCATTTGGAGGTTTTTTTAGCATATTGCACAATTGCGTCCGCCATTAACGAATCGATTCGTAATTATACGAAATTTCGTAAATTTCGAAATTTTTAAAAGGAAAATTTCGGAATTCTTTTAAAAAACGAAACGCGATGGACCCCAAAAAATGAAACGAGTTTAGAAACAAATTTTTCCGTTGTTACCCAGGCCTAATAGAAACCTGTACACAAATCAGAACCAGTGAATAGGCACTGCCTTTTGCGCCTTAGATTGCAGATTTTACCACAAATGTGCAAGTAAGTAAGTTGTGCCAAAAATATTTATTTCTTCAAAATATTTGGATGTTTGCAACTAGTATCTCAACAGTTGGTAGAGGCACAGAGGAGCTGGATAAATCAAATAGGCACCCCATAGGCCTAGGGTAACCTGTGAGCTATGTGTTTTTCCTCTTGCTTTAATATATTCATTTACACTAAAACCATTTATTTTAAACATATTCAGATTTATTTATCCTTAGTTAAAGCTGTTTTTTGGAGACATAGATAAATGCATTTGGGTGTCATTAACATACTGATAGTATCCCACCCCATGATTTCAGATGATCTCTCACAGCCGTTTCATGTCAATTTTAAAAAGCCTTGGAGATAGAACAGCTCCTTCTTTGAGGAACATCTATCTCTGAGCATCTCCATCTTGAACTGGCTTGCGAGGTACATACAACCAGCACTACTGCAACATAGTGCCTTTGATTCCCAACCCATCCCCCCCAAGCGTTTCAGAAATATGCCATGGTTGATGTTATCGAGAGCCACTGAGAGGTCTAGAAGCACCAACATGGACACACTTCCCCTGTCAGTGATTAGACAGAGATCATCCACTAGGGCAACCATAGCAGTCTCAACTTCATATCCTGCATTGAAGCCAGTTTGAAATGGGTCAAAGAAGTGTATGCCATCCAAGACTGCATGGAGTTGGAGAGCAACTGCCTTCTTAATGACCCTGCCCAAAATAAGAAGGTTAGAGACTCATCTGTAACTTAAAAGGTCCAGAGGATCCAGGAAGGACTTTTTCACCACTGGTCTAGCTACTGCTTCTTTTAAATAAATTGGAAAGTTTCCCTTGCTGAGAAATGTGTGGAATGCTGTTGTATGGAAACTGAATTGTATCTCCTCCCTGCACAACTAGCCAAGATGGCAGGAATCAATAAAGCAGATTGTCTTTACTTGTCTGAGCAGCTTGTCAACATCAATCATACCTACCAATGGAAATTGATCCATTGTAATGACAAGGTTGCTGGATGGCCATAACTGACTTATACGTCAATGATGTCATCCAAGTTGGTTCTTATGAGAGAAACAGACTGTATCTGGCCATGTGTTGCTCTTGTCCTCAGAAAACAGAGGATTTGCAGACATGAAACAATCTGAGCTAGGGACCTCCTCCCACCAAAGGTTTCCCGCTAGTTAGTAGAAGCAGGCTTTTAAGGTACAAGGTTATTCAAAGGTAATCCAGGTGGCCAATTGCAGCATTCATACTTGGCTCAAGTAGAAAATAATTTCTTTTTCCCACCCTGGATCTTTCACATATTTATAAATAGAAGCCTCTCACAGAATGGTAAAACATCTCTGCAATATATGGGGAACATCATTGGAGATGGTGTATTGTCTCACTCCAGAAGCGACTTATAGTATAGGTTCCTTCCTTCCTTCCTTCCTTCCTTCCTTCCTTCC